AGGAGGGTGATAGAGGTTCACAGAAAGCAGGGATCTGGATTCACTGTAAATGCAGAGTGGTCACCTACGGCCTCAGCTATTTAATGATCACCAATAGGTCTTCGCTTCGGATCTACTAACAGTCTAGCTTCGGCTGAAGCTAGTACTGGTCCTTGGTCCGGATTTGGTAATAGTCCAGTACTGGCTGAAACTAGTGCTATCTCTTTAACGCTTCTTAGTCGCGAAGCAAAGTCCCACACTGCATTCGCATTATTTCTGTTTCATAAAAAAATTTAATGGTTTTTAAATGGTTTATGCCAGCCGACGAGAGGGAACGTGTTCAGATATGTAGCACTTAGTAATTTCTCAAATATTTCATCTTTTTGTGGGGATAGTATTTGAAGATGCTCAACCACTACAGAAGTGACCACGTTCGGTCGCACTCCTCTTTTACCATGGTAGAGATCGGCTATGTCTGAGAATAACTATGCAGTAGATTCGTATGTCGGAGAGGCGAGCATATTTCCAAGCGTCTCCAAGGTATTTGATTTATTAGTGGAAATGGTGTCATAATTTCCAGGAAGACGATGTCATGGTAATATGTACACATATTCCTTTCACGAAACTTGCAGAAGGAAGTTAACGGGTGCAAATTAAGAAATGGGGAAGGTCGTGTGAAGAAAGAAGTCAGTGGGAGCATATGAAAAAAAGGAGTAAGGGAACATTGACGAAAGGAGGGATAGTCTCGAGAAACAAATAGCGACTGAGTACCGTTCGCCGGTTCCCCTGCAGTAAGTAGATTTAGTTGGGCACCGAATGGACAAATACAGGGCAATCCAAAAAAAGACACTTTTCTTCCTCGACTTTCAAGGCGATATAAGTTACACTTTATTAAATGCTGATTGGACATTTCCACCATTATATCTAACAACACATTGTACACTATCACGATACTCCGCCGCAGTCTAGAGCCATAAGAGATTCTGCACGCGACGGCGTTTCGGTGTCTGAGTTCAGCGAGGTCGTTGATTTCTCCGCCACTGTAGACCACCCTGTTGAGCTCCGCTCGAACCCGGTAATCGAGGGGTTCAGGTCAGGTGACACACTTGGATATTCCGTCTTCTTCAGGCACTCAAATCCCTTCCATTCCAAATAGGCGATAGTTTTCACTACGCCCTTCCGATTCCAGGCTGCGATTGGAGATGGCTTCATACTTTGGTGTACATGATGGGTGATGTGATGGGCGAGAGCCAGCTCCTGCTTATCGAGGAACATCTTGGGTATCTTCCGCCCTGGTACTCGTATCCACGTCTTCTCTCTGGGCTGCGAAAACTTTGCTGATATGTGACTCGGCCGAAGTGTCATTTTTCTTTTGCCCCTTCCCCTCCCGTATATTCGGTTGTGAGGGAGAGATATCTGGTTTTTGCTTGGAACCGGTAGTTGATTGAGTGTTTTATCACAGGGAAGAAGTTCCGTCATGTGAAACGTCGTTTTCCAAACCTTGACGATGGGTGCACGATTTGCATATGAATTGCAGTTCATGTAAAGAGCTCTAGTAGCGCCAATTCGCTTGTGTGAAAGCGAATTGGAATGGGCCATACCACGGGTTCTGCAATCAAAAGGGGTCTAGTGGGGCTAAAATACTGGCAATAACAAGGTAGTAACCAAATGGTGAAAAAAAAGTTCCTGGAAATGCATTAGATAAGACCCCGCTGCGATATGAGCCCGTACGAGCGTACATAGAGGGCATGTTTGGACGAGTTCCCGCCTGTTGATATCAACTCTTTTCCTTTATCACCTGACCATCACCATCCGGATTGGAAGAAAATAGTAGCAAAATTGCCGCATCAGAGCTCATGAGTGAATCGCATAATTATCATTTAGCCGCGAAAGTGGTACACTCTCCATACTCGTGGACCTGAGTACTTTCCAATGTAGCCCTCACGCCTCCCTTGGACAAAATACTCCGGTCCATAGGCACGGAAGATGTACCACTTTCGGCCTTAACAATGCGTGATAATCATGCTGTGCACTCATGATCGGTGGTGCGGTTGTTTTGCTACTGGTCTTTTCGATTCCGTATGGTGATAGTTAGGTAATAAGCGAACGAAATCAAGTGAACGTGAGGCCTACCTTTGACTAGTGCGCTTTTGTAGATTATTTCAGAGTGTCCAGTAATGTATATCATCCAGATGTGTAGCGTCCACGTTAGAGCAAATTCGAACGCCTAAATGACCTGGAACTGCGGGTGATCTCACAGTTTCGCTTTATCTTGGTAATTTTTTGGAGGTAAATGATGAGATCTTCTCATGATCAATCCCTTTTGGGATGCGCACACATACTACATCAAGTCAGGATAGTATTAGGTTAATGAAAGCGGTGTGGCCAATACAAGTCCCGGGGCCAGCCAAGTTAGCGTTCTTAGCCTCTAAGAGGACCTGATACCATTTAATGTTCCTGGAGGGTAGAGGGATAAAATCGCTTGAACATAAGTCATTCCGCTTTTAACCACCGAAGCATGCCGTTCGCCACCGCACCTGCGCCCTTATACTTTTTTATTGTTTATTATTTGGCACTGTAACACGTTAGTCTGTTGCAGCCCTTCTCTAACAGAGGAAAGACTGTTGTCATCCAATACACGGTCAAGCACGAACAAGGAATCGATTGCGGAGGTGGCTACGTTAAGGTAACCATGGTCTCTTCCATGACATATAATTTCTGATAACAACATCTTGTTTCAGGTCATGAGCTCGGATGTTGATCTTAAAGACTTCCACGGAGAAACCCCATACAATGTGATGTTTGGTCCTGACATTTGCGGACCCACGAAGAAAGTCCATGTCATTCTGTCGTACAAGGGCAAGAATCACCTCATCAAAAAGGATATCCGTTGTAAGGCAAGTCACCAGAGTTGTAAACTGCTTAGTTTCTTTTAATCAGCTATCTGTAATGACTTAATTAAATTGAGCATCTTTAGGATGATGAGCTAACTCACCTGTACACACTGATTATTAATCCTGATAATACCTACGAGGTGCAAATTGATGGAGAGAAGGTTGAGAGTGGCGAGATTGAGGCAGATTGGGATATGCTTCCGCCAAAGAAGATCAAGGATCCTGACGCAAAGAAACCGGAAGACTGGGACGAGCGAGAGTACATTGATGACGAAGATGACAAGAAGGTAGGTCGATTGTGGGTTTTCACACCTTTTACACGCTGGTATGAGGGTATTTTTTTCAGCCCGATGACTGGGATAAGCCGGAACATATTCCCGACCCAGATGCGAAGAAGCCTGATGACTGGGATGATGAAATGGATGGCGAATGGGAACCTCCAATGATTGATAACCCCGAATACAAGGGAGAGTGGAAAGCTAAACAGATTAAGAATCCTGCCTACAAAGGCAAATGGATTCATCCCGAAATCGACAACCCAGAGTACACTCCTGATGATGAGCTTGTACCACTACAAAGACTGGGGAGCGATCGGTTTCGATCTATGGCAAGTGAAATCTGGTACTATCTTCGACAACATCATCATTACTGATTCAATCGATGAAGCTAAAGCTCATGCGTCTGAAACCTTTCGAGAAGTTGAAAACGGCTGAGAAGGAGAAGAAGGAGAAGGCCGATGAAGAAGAACGAAAGAAGTTGGAAGAAGAGGCCAAGAAGAGAGAAGAGGAGGAGAAGAAGAAGAAGGAGCAAGAGAAGGAAGACAAAGAAGATGAGAAGGAAGACGAGGATAAGGATGAGGAAGCTCATGACGAACTCTAAATTCTGCCAAGCTCTGTTGTTTCGGGTCGGTGACTACAAGTTGCGTTTGTGTAACTGCTAGTCTCGTTTCTAGCCCCTTTTTGTTCTTGTTGTTTTTATTATTATTTTGCGTCACCAATACATGAGGTATCGTGGCAAGGGTTTGTTTTTTTTAAGAAGATGTCTCCTCTCCCTGCCTCGTATTGCTTTTCCAGTTGGTTGCGTTTAATAAATTTATTTATTGATAAAAACATTTTATTTTATGTAGCTGTATAACATCACCGCGTCAATTGAAATAGCATTCAGTAAGGCAATATAGCATGCATTGCCTTAAGCATAAATGAATACGCATTCCAATTAGAAATTACGGAAACTAACGAGTTGTTTACGGATAAAGGATTTCGATACTGATGTGTTTCACTTCACACAGGATTTAACTAGCTGATAGAGGAGCCTTTGACGTTCAAGTGATTTTGTGTGCGCTGTTGCTGAACCCTAGCGCTCTGTTAGGGGCGTGGCGCTTCATGTTTTAGTTTTGAAGCGCACAGCACTGGGGTTACTACCTGCCTCGCATTGCTTTTCCAGTTGGTAGCGTTTAATAAATTTGTTTATTGATAAAAACAACGACAATGATAAAAACAATGTTAGGGCTTATACAAATATAAAACACATCCGAGGTTTATAGGAAGTCGAACATGGTGAACTACGGTTACTGCTTATCGACCCGCAATACTGCGCGCATTGTTCTCGAAGTCTTTTGTTCGTATGAAGTTGCATGGTTATGGCAAGGATGGCCCAAGAAATTCTGATACGGTTCTCCACGGTTTTTTCCTTCCGCACGTAAAACATCAAAGCAGCTTCAATGCTCGGGATAGCTTGCCAAAGGGATCGAGATCGCTTGCCTTGGTGTTGCCGTAGTCGCTCTGCGAATCTGCCTTCGCAAGACAGGTTCAAAGACAATTCACGCGGTCAAGACCATGGTTAGCTCGGAACTTGGTGGCAACTCAACGCCCTGCGTTTTCTGTGCAACCCTGTCTCAAAAATCGCTTTTTGCATCTTTAAGTAGTGAATGCCATTCAATGCAAAGAAAAGTAAACGAAAAACAACAAAAGCACGAGAGCAAAACTCACAACGGAAACTCCGTATACGAATTTGGGATTACTGTAAACAATGCACGTCGAGCTTTTGCACCAGAAAATTGCATCTGTGGTGATTTGAAGCCTTAGATGGATTGTTGTTGATTGTATGTGCTCCTGATGGAGACAGAGTAATAGAGGAGTGCAAAATTACTTTTGAGAACGCGTTCGAAAAAATGGACACGCTTTTCGGATTTATGTCCACCGTCCCGACAAACTTCAACTGAGCATCACT